GGTAATCTACTGGTATTTATTACAGAGAATATTCAATCAAGAACATCATTTCACTTTGATTTGGCCAAAAATTAAAGTGATTTCCTGCATTATGGGACAGTGTCAGACCTAAATGCACTTTAATACAAGATCATGTTTAAACATATGGAGTTTGAAGTTGAACAGGTTTCATGTGCAGTTGTCAGTTGGAAATAAGCGGCTGCACTGATTGGGGTACATAAACGTATTGTTTAACAGTTTTCTACCAGCATTCCTGTCTATCTGAGTGACTTTTACACGACTGGGTTCAAGTGTTTTTAAAGGACAAATAGGGAAAAAAACAAATACAAATTTTCTTTAGAACCTAGAATGAAGTAATAAATAAATAACAAAACAAGTACTTACAGAAAAGCGCTGTGACAAATGGGTGCATGAAAAGACACATACAAGTAAATAATAATGAATTCAAAGAGACTCTGTGAAGATAAAATGAAAAAGTGAGAAAGAACAAAACGAGTAACTCCTGTGTGAGGATGAGTCTGATCTGTCCAAAGTTTAGAGACGACATAATAAGACTGATTGTGTATGTACCGATATATTATGGGATGTCTGTCAGTGTGGTCCTGTGCAACAACTGAGGGCTCATTCACTCACCCGGCATCGATCCAGCTGGACTTTGAGTGGTTCTGGTTCCGATGCTGGAGGTGCCTGGACTTTGAGCCAGTTCTCACTGCTGTCCACAGCCTGTTCACACTGCTCATACAAGCTGTAGAAGGCCAACACCTGCAGCATGTGCGCACACACACACCCACACCCACACCCACACACATTTTGAATGAAGGTTAAAAAAAGAATCAATTCCCACAAAGACACAAGCAAACGCCCACACAACATCTGCCTGCATGGCGAGTCCAGAACGACCAGACCTTTCACACGGTGGTAATCGTAGGGACAGTAGCAGCATTGCAGCTGTACATGGATAGCAGAGTTGTTATTTAAAGAGCCAAAGAAACAGGTTATATTTCTAGACACACATACTCCATAAGTCTTCTTAACTGCTGTGACATGAACATGGCACTAAAAAGGCAAAACACTGAGCAGGAGGAGAAGGAGGAGGACGAAACTAGCATAGATCCAACTAGATGTGTATTACTGAATGTTATCAGACTAGCCTTCACTCAGGTTTTTTGTTGTTGCGCTACGATAAGTACAGTGGATGGCAGGTGTGTCGCAGCATTTTAAATAATTCTAAAAGTTTTGTAGCACCTCATATATCGCTCTTTGTGAGTGATGTGTCTCCAGACGTCATTAGCTTGCATATTACTGATCTTTAGGGGACACTCTATGTGTGTGTACCTTTGTCTGGTAAGCCAGCCATGCCAGCCTGTCGGCCAACAGGGCACAGAATCCCACCCAGCGCTGGTTCAGCTGCTCTGCCGCCTGCGCAATGTCCTCAGCACGAGTCCCCTCTGCAGTGAGGGAGTAGATGGAGAGTTAGCAGGGGCCGACACACACACACACACACACAGTTTACACAGGACACTGGTGTCTCTATTGGGATGAATGTCGTCTGTAGGGGAGGAGACACCACACCTATCCGAAAGGGGACAACTGGATGATCATTGAAGCTGGATCACATGTTTCATTATGCATGCATGTAAATGGGCCCTTTTTCCTGTAATTGTACCTTTATTATGCTTCATTATGTCAAGCGTGTAGTTGGTGCTACTCCACTGCAGGTTCTCTCTTGTAACTTTGGTAAAGCACTGTTTTTGTTATTGTTTGTCCTGTGGTATCTTACCCACCAAGCATGTGACCTGTTCTTACAGATTCACATCAAATGGACTTGGCATAAGGAAGTATTAGGAGACTAAATAATACAATTTAAGCTTTTACATGGGGATGAAAATCCACATTATTGCCAGTCTGATCTTTCAGAGTGCCTTTAAAAACAAACAAACAAACAAACAAAGAGCTTGCTGCTTGTAATGACACCATGTTTGCAGTGTTTTATTGATGCACTTTTGACTGTGATTATTTGCACAGCAACAACAGACGGAGCTTCTTCTCTCTCCTTTACTTCCACACACAGTATTTTGGCGGATTTTGTTTGAAAAGTCTAAACTGCGTGTTTCTGCGTTTTCAGAAAGCCCAACAATTGCACAAGGACAGAGGAGAGGGCGGATGAGAAGAAGCATCCCTCTCTCTGCCTGTACCTCTCTCTATCAGTGTTTCTATGGAGACAAGGAGAGAGGGTGGGACAGGTGGAGGCGTTGCCATGGGGACAGACAGGGTGTGGGTGCGTGCATGTGTGTGTATGCATGTGAATGAGTGTGTGAGCGTCCACGTTACCCTGCTCAACCAGGGTCTGTGCTGTCCGTGTTGCCTCCTGAAGCTTCCGGTACTTCTCTGGCCGCTCGCGTTCTATCGCCTGAGACAGAGACGGAGATGTGAAGTTAACAGACAGGAGGCTGACATGGAGAAGCAGGAAGATCAAATAACAACAAACCGACAGCAGGACAATTATTTATCACTCAGAAAGAATCACCCCCTCCAAATAAAAAGCAACTTCACAGTGTGATATTAAAACCTAAAGTAACACGGCCACCCTCGTTTCACTCTCAGGACTCATCAGCTTCTGATCTTATTCTGCTGCCACATTCACAGAAAGAGAAAGAGAATGAGGTTTAAATTGTTTACACAAAATATAAATATGTAACTAAACATATAAGACAATAAAAGTGTAGGTGTACACGATCCCTTCGTTTCCATGTGCAACTGTAAATTAAAGCAACTTAGTTCCACACAGAAAAGAGACAGGAGCAGTGTCCAACGTACCAACCTTCAAATATCCTCAGAGTGCAGCACCACAAGCTACATACACTTTATGCAACTCACCAGTGGCCACTAGGGGTCACAATGCAGCATGTAACTTGGTTTTTCAGTATAATCCGTACGTTTATAGAGACAGTAAAAAGCAGAGTCAACAAAAGTAATGCCTTCAATGACATTTTTAATTATTTAAAAAAGAAAAGAAAAAGTTTTCACTTTTAGCATACAAAACTCCTTTTAGTTCCTGATACAGTGTGCTGGACAGTTCAGGGCGGTGAGGTTCATGGCTGGTAAGGCGCTGACTCCTTCACAGGCAGATTAACAAACATATGAACCCAAAAGAGAAGCTGGTTCACTCTACAGCATGCTCATTGACTGCTGTTCCATATGTCATCAGCATTCTTTACACACATAGGTAAGGTACATATTTGGCTAAGAAAGACATCTACAGAGTGGACAGAGCGCATTTACCCTCCATGTGCTCTCAGTTTGCTGTTTCAATTCCACAAGTCATACTCATTCAATAGAAATGAAAGCGTAAAGTGGTGCAGAGAAAAAACAGATGTCAGTTTGGACCTTAATTGAAGTATTTAGTTGTCTTTAAAAGCTTTTTGTTCTGATATTTCAATCAATTTTAATTCACAAATAATAACAAGAAAAACAAGAGAATATTTTATTTAAGGTCAAATTTTAGTTTTTAAATATTGGATTGTTTTTTTCTTAGTCTGATCCCTTTTTTTAATATATATATGAAATTGTAAACCGTTTTTGGTCTTACCTTTATTTGTAAATAAAGTAAACCTTTCAGCTCTGGTGTTGCTCTTGTTATTTATCACTTCCTGTTTTGACTGAAAGCTTAGATATAGATAATCTTCCATTTTTGGAGTCAGTTGGAACAAAAAGTAAAAATGAACGAACTGCTGCAGTTTCCTGGACTGTGTGGTGTCACTAACTGATGGGCTCCCAGAGCCTCTGGTAGAAGACGAGCAGCAACCAGCACCTGCTGAGCCCACATCGGGCCTCAGTGCAGCGCGGTGCTGTCGGCCTCACCGTGGGCCTCTGCACTGGGTTTCATGTCCAATCAGCAAAGACTAAATATGTCACACACTTTCATTAGATATCAGCCAGACTGTGGACCGTCAGGGTGTAGAAGAGACGAGTCTGCAAACAGGATATACATACATACAGCTTTGCTTTTCATGATGACAGGTGAGGCTCTAATTAAAAGCTTCACAAACTGCTAAATATCACATGAATGACTGGTGACCACATCCAGAAACATTTACACCAGTTTGTGTTGTGCCTAAAGTTTTAAACACAAGCTCTTTGTGAGACATGTCTAGAATTTTATTTTCAGAAATGTTTCTAATTCGTGATCAACAAATGAAGAGTTCATTTGCAAAAACAGATAACTCCATCTGCCCAAACCTTCAGAAAACCCACGTTTCCATCGTCTCCCTGAGACAGCATCAATCAAACTGAAGCTATCTCTATTTTGGTCATTTGCACTGAGTCGAATCCACTCAGCTTCAGTTTGATTGATATTATCTCAAGCAAACAAAGAAGAAAAAAAGTTTTCTGGAAATCTGAGTTATCTGTTTTTGTAAATTAACTCTTCAAATATCAATTATTTGCTGTTTTTAATTTAAAGTTGGAGCGAACCGCAGTCATTTGTGTCAATGACAATGTTATCTGACTGACGATGTTTGAATTTATTGTCATTCTTAATTCAGTCAGCGTCACTATTCTTAATTACTCTGACTTAACGCTGCTCAAACCCATATTTTATGTTTTAACAATAGATCAAATAAAACCTGTAATGTGAGAGGGACTGCTGATCATGAGGAGGTAGCAGACAACTGCTACCAACTTTACAGTTCCCCACCTTTCAATAGTAGTTTTTAGTAGCTTTTGGATAATTGTACTGGTTTTATAACGAACAACGTGATGTTTTAGTTCCTCTAATCAGCATTGTTTCCAGCAGCAGAAGCGACTGCTGTCAGCGTCAGAGCCACTTTCTGCTATCTGCTCAGCATGAACCAGCAGACAAGCACAATTAAACACTCGCTGGTAAACACAACGCAGCATTTAGAAGCTACAGAGACAGATCAGTGTCGCCGTGCTCTGCATCCCGGCTCAGACAGACAGAGCACCGGAGCTGCTGCTGCTCATGTGCTGCTCATATAAAACCATGACAACAAAACACTGTTTCAGTTGTAAGAAGTGAACGTTGTTGTTCTACCAGATTGTTGAAGTGTGTTTCACTGATGGCAGATTAGACAATACATTGGCAAAATCTCTTGCTGTCGCTATCAATAAAACAGATCTTTTACCTTTTAACCTAGCTCATGGCAGCTCAGAGATTAACACAGATTTTCCTTTTTTTGTGTGACACAATAAACATAAGTATTAAATCCTTGCATAATTGCCTCGCACTTTTATTGCAGTACCACTAATTTACATGAAAACCAATGTTTATATAACAGCACGCCGCTTTAAGGACATTTTACGAGTCATATCCACACACGTTAAGCTTTTCACCAAACATCTCGTCCCTATTGTGAAGAGATAACCGTGAATTACCAAAACATTCAGATCAGCATGTAGTCAGGGATGAATTTAGCTTCACTTTGGTTTGTTGTTGTTTTAAGTTGGCTTGCCAGCAAGTCAGTAGTTCTCTGTGTGGCTACAGTAAGCATTAGTTATATTGGTGGAGCAGATGTTTACCTGTTTTACTTCCCTCTTGACAATAAAAGCACTCTGACAAAAATCAGTCGATCACTTTGTCTTCCTTCGTTATGTATTGGAGAAAACACAACACGCCCCATTTTGCTTCACCAGGCTGAATTGGCAATCAATAAACGCAGACTTAAAGCGTGTGTTTTTTGTGCTCATTCACACGAATCAACCCTGATATGTTTCTGAGTAGTTGGTGGAAAGCAAAAATAAATGTAATAAATACTGGTTCACTTCTGGTTTCTGAGAAGTGCGAATAAACCTCCAGCAATTTAATTTATTTTTGGCTAAACTTGTAAATGAGCCTTGTTTAGATGTGGTCCCAAATGAACTGCGTGTCACACATGATCAGTTTAAAGACCGTTTGGAAAGTTGAAAATGTCCCGATTCTTTCCGTTGGTACAGTTTCTGACTCTGAAAAATGTTGGAAGTTTGGTGGTTTTATAAAAATAACTCACCTTTCAAACCCACAGGATGGTTTAGTGGGTTCAAAAATATTTAACGTGACAGGAAATGGTTACCTTAGCTTAGCATAGTGAGTAAAAATAGACACACAGTTAGACTTTAACCGTCCAAAGAGTGAGGCTGGCTGTTTCCTGTGTCTAGGTTCATATTTATCACTCAAACATGAGAGCCGTATTGATCTTCTCATCTATTTTGAAAATGCTCTGTTCTTTTCGGTCATTGGGGGATATTTCCTTTCTCGTCTATTTGTTTTTGTTCTGTAACAGGTTGTTTCCAAGTCTCATTACTTGCTGTGCGAAGTCATGCAACAGACAGACGGTTGTTTCTTTATTACTGTTTCAGAACCAACCTCAGCCCCAACCAGATCTGCACACTGCTGGATCTCTGCCTGGCCACCACCAGTTCAGTGTAATGAGGGTTTCTACAGAGAGAAGCCCGGCTGCTCCATGGGCCCTCCAGTGTCACCCACTGTGACCAACCTCTACATGGAGGAAGCAGAAAACAGAGCACTGAGCTGATTTAAGGGAACAACTCCGAGCCAAAGGTTCAGCTATGTGGATGACACCTGGGTTAAAACCAAAGCTCAAGAGGAGAGGCCTTCACAGAACACATCAGCTCTGTGGACAGCATCCTCAAGTTCACAAAGAAAGATAGAAATGACAGCCAGCAGCCTTTCTTGGACTGTGCTGTGCATGTTGAGGAGTATGGACGCCTCATTGTTGGAGTCTACAGGAAACCTACACTGCTGTTTGATTCACACCACCCACCCGAACATCAACTGGAGGTCACCAGAACCTTAAAGCACCGGGATGAAGGAACTGTGGCTACCCCTACTGGGCCTTCATCAGATCACATAAAACACACAGAAAACACAGCACCACAACAAACAGCAAATAAAGGAAGGACAGGAGGAACAATGCTGTCATTCCACATGTAGCTGGAGTTTATGGAAAACATAACATAGCAGTGCAGTTCAGACCCAGCAACACTCTTGAGACAAAAACCAGCTCAGCCCAAGGACAAAACACCAGCACATAATGGAGCAACGTGGAGCCCAATGCAGCGAAGAGTGCACAGACTTGTACATAAGGGAGACTAAACACCAGCTCCACAAGATCAACACAGCAGAGCTGCTTCTCAGGACAAGACTCAGCATCCACCTGCATCTAAAGGATCAGGGACACTCCTTAGAGGACAGCAACCTACACATTCTGGACAGAGAAGACGGATGTTTGAGAGCGGTGTGAAGGAAAAGCAACTGGAAAAGCCATCTTGAAACAGAGAGGGGGTCTGCAGCACCACTTATCAAGAACCAGTGATGAGGGCTCTCCCCAGAAAGTTTCACCATCATGAATATCTTGAGTCACCAGTGACATGGCAGATTCATGTGTAAACTGGCAGCTCCACCGTTATTACTGCTGCCGTTGGTGGACCACCTGGTTTCACAACAATCCACACCTTGAGGCGTGTGAGTCCTGGGTCGTTAGTGGGTCATTAGTGGGTGAGCTGGAGTGACTATAAATCCTCTAACTCCCTAGTTAGAACTGAAGAATCCTCTTGGATGAAGGTAAAACGTCTTCAAGAACCTGCAAGAGAAGTCCAGTTGCTTTGTACTGAAGCTTCTACGATAGCTGCTGCATGAAAGTTTGAACAGTCCACACTCCCGCTGCGTCTCATTACCACGGAGCCACATCAGCATTATCCTGCACCCATAATCACAACTCAGACAGGGCCCTCAGGTAGGACTCTTATATGGAAGCTCAAATTTATTTATGACCCAACTGTATGATGGAAACTTGTAATTTCAGCATCCAGTCTCTGAGCAGATTAAGCTCTGTGGGGTGTCTGTTTCTTTACCTGCACTTTGTCGTACAGCTCCTGGATGCTGCCATCCTTGCGTGACACAGAGAACTCTGGGCTCTGCAGAATGGCCTCACCGCGGGTCATGTAGCTGTGGACCTCTGTAAAGTCCACGTCGAACCTGGTGACACACACACACACACACACACACACACACACACTTTGCAATATTAACAGCACTAGATGATTTATTTTGCCCATTGCTGTTTCACCACTTTTCCTCGCAGTTATTCTAAACAGCAACCTGTTAAAGCCACAGTAACCAGACCTGCAACAGTTATCGATTATCGATTAGTTGTCAACTACTGAACTATCATCAAATATTTTGAGAAATGATTATTCAGAGTATTTTTAAAAGAAAAAAAGTTTACATTTTCCTATTCTATTTAAAAAATATGATTTCTTTTCGTTTCCTTCCTCCTTAATGAAAAATCTTTGGGTTGTGAAAAAAAACTAAGTATTTGAACCATTTAGGAAACACTGATACAGATTTTTACTATCTTCTGACATTTTATAGACCAAACAACTAATCAAATAATTTAGAAAAAATTGATTTATCTACAACGAAAATACTTGTTAGTTGCAGCCCCAGTCATAGCTGGGCTTTACCTCAGAGAGCTCCCCATATGAAACATCTGACCTCCATCCAGTCAGGTAGATTTGGCAATCTGCTTCATTACCTCATTAAGTTAAAGAAGAGAAGTCGTCCAACAATCGAGGTCTTGGACTGTCACAATTATTTTATTCAACTACCTAAACTTAACAAAAAAGGACATCGCACCCTAATTTGGAACCTTTGAATCTGGCTCTACACTAAAGGTCATGGACTGAATGTAATTACTAAAGACGAATGGAGCTGTAATGCTGCGAGAAGTTCTCACTTACTTTAGTGAAAGGAGTATTTGTGGGAGTGTGATTTAAAATTTGCAACCAAAAAACATCTGTTAGCAAGACCTGCATCACTGTCTGAAAGTCAAAACATCGGGATATAACAGTTCCTAAAACACAGCGACTGATGTGTACAGTGGACATGAGCCACAGAGACATGAGGTGTGACGACTAAGAGCAGCCATGTCCACAGCAATCAGCAACTCAAACGACTCAAGTGTGCCTAAAACAGGGACTGTCATCTAATAATGAAAATATCCCCGGCTATTTTTACATGACAGAAAAACAAGGTCTTCTTGGAAAGTGTGTGAAATTAGCTGTTTTTTTCTTTTTCTCCTGACGTTGAGGTTGCCACAGTCATTTCCTAATTCACTGGCCGTCTGACAGGGCTTCTCACTTTGCTGGTTTACCAAAGTTTCATGCACAAGGCCCAGCGTTCATAGAGCCTGACCAAACTAGGGGCTAAGCATCAGGACATTTTGGTCTTTGCTGCATTGTTTTCCATCATTCGTTGTGACTTCATTACAAGCAGCTGGTGGGAAAGTCAAACTTTGGGTTTTAAATATCAGTGCAGATTAAACAGCGAAGGTCTGGGATGTTACCTGAAACATTATCAAAACCAACATGACTTCCTACTTTCAGTCCCATTTGGTTGTACCTCCCTCCCATCAACTACAGACTAAAACTGGATGCTACAGATGCAGCAGTCTGGTAAACTGGTTTTACTTCCCCCCCTTACTGATATATATATACACACATAAACATGACATTACAGCAGTGCACATATTTAAATAGGCCAGGTCGAGGCAGCAGTCAAAGCGGAAATTCCAATGGATGAAAAAGTAGACTACTTCCTTATAAAAAGTGGATTAGCAGTAGAACGGTACAACACAAATCCTAACTATCATACCAGTAAAGTAGGAGTACCTCAGCTGTTTACAGACGCACAGGGCTTGGGTAAACGTATCTACAACTACACAACAGACCCATTTCTAAGACTTCCTGCTTCTCTACTTCCTGCAAGGTACAAGAGGATTTTCAGAATCTCTTACTTCACTACTAAAAAAAAGTTCAGTTTCAAGCCAGCCTGTGCTACTACCAGTACTGGTACTACCAGTATCTGCAATCTGTCATCACCTACCTGCAGAGATAGGACAGCAGAAAGGGATGCATGCAACTGAACATTTCACATATGTTAGAAAACATCCTGTAACTACTAATACTGCTCTCACTAGATGTTTTATCAACACACACCCACCTTTTCCTGAGCTCAGAATCCACAACCACCTGCCTCTTCTTCTGTGGTGGCGGCGACTCTCGGGTTTGGCGCACAGCCGCCACTTTCTCCCTGGTCGTCACCTTGGTAACAGTTGCTGTGACGGAGTGGGTCATCTCGGACTGCTGGGCTGTACTGACAGACGATGACAGCTGAATGCGAAAGAGAAAAAAAAAAGAGAACACATTTAAACAAACTGCAAACAACAGCAGGTGCCGTGTCAGTTTACAAGGATCTGTCAACATTATACGGATCCCAAATCACCACTTAACACACTCTGACATCTGCGCGCACACACACATGCAGAGTGTAACGGTGTCCTTGAGAGGAGATGAGTCAAGGATGAGTTTCATGAATCATACATTATCACATCTACAGTGTCAGGCAGGGTGTGTGTGGACTTTAACATCTATGGATGTAGATATAAGAGTAGGTGAGTGGGTACTTAGACAGCTGGGAGACTGATCGGACAGTGTGATAGAGCTAGAGTGTGTTCATGTGTGTGTTGCGCGTTCATAGCAAGGCGTGTGCTGATTCTGATACTGAGCATTATTCACTGTTGTCGTGTGAATACAACCACTAGAACATACTTGCTGCCATGGAAACGTGTGCTTAAGTCTGCAGAGGTCAATCTGACAGATTATAACCGACAAGTGTTTAAGAGAGCGAGGAAAGTGGAGAGATGTATGCAACTAGTGTGACCAGCAACTTCACGATGGATTTTGTTATCCACTGCTGGATGAACCTATCTGAGTGTGTGTTTGCTTACAGCACTGGGCTATCAAAATATATTGTTGTAAATTTCCTACCGGCAGCAAATAGTGGATATAGATCAGGAGTGTGTTTCTCAGTACTGTCTGTCTGTGGCTCATATATAGAAATGTTTTAATGACAACAAGGTGAACATTTTGGAGCGACTGCGTCAGTGATCACACCTCAATCCAACTGAGAATCTGTGGCTGGACTGTCCATACACAAATCCAATGCATCACAGCTAAGAATAGGGTCAAACTGCAGTTTGACTTTCTCACATGAAAAAATCTTTTTTGTAAATTCTTATCAAAAAAAAAAGCCAAACTACATTGACCATAACTCATTGTTGACAGGGAAAATTTCCAAGGGTGGAGATGACTTTTATAGGCACGACTGACTTAACCAGTCAACTTGTTTGACTTGGCCATAACTAACATTAATTCATACATAAAAGTCCTGCACTACAGAATACTTTCCCCCCTCCGTTCTATTCTATGATGATATAATGAATCCTACTGTGGCAGAACTGGAGATGTAACCACAGACTAATTCCACACACATCTTCATACAAACAACCTGAAATCTACAACACTCAAAAAACAGCTTGACTGCCAACGCTTTGATGTAAAGTTCTAGATTAATGTGCTAGAAACGGTTATTACAGCCTGCAGTGGTGATGAACAGCGGAGTACGGCGGTCTGGTGACCTCACTTGTTGCTAACGCTACACCAACTGAGTCTCTTTTTTCACTTTTTAAACACTGAAACATTTAAAACTTTTCAACACTTAAGACTCAACCAGAGCTCATGGGCATACCTGGGAGCTGCTTGTCTCCAGACTCTGGACCAACCGGTCCCAGCGCTGGGCGAAGCTCTCCAGTCTTGCCTCCAGTTTGCTGGCCACCTCTTTGTTCTTGACACTGGACAACAGGTCTTGGCTCATGGAGCACAGCTTGTCCATGGCAGGACGCTTCACTTCCAGATCCGCCTTCACCGCCTGGTGGAGGAGACAACACAGCTGTGGATGTAAGCCTGCATGCATCATGTGGTTTGTGCAGCACTTGTGAAGCACTAAAGCATATTTCTTCTTGTTAACATAAAGGCACATTGGAGGCTCACAGCAAGACGGCGCAAGCAGGCCACCATCTCTGCCTGGTCTTTCAGGTTGGATGTCCTAATGGAGCGAACCAGTTCCTCCTTCTGAGTCAACCAGGAATCAAATAAACACTGTGAAGGAGAGAAAAAGGAGACAATGAGAAAAGGAGTGGATCAAAGCAGGAGGTGAAGCAAGAACAGGACAGAGAACAGTGGAAAAAAAGGTGCAGAGGGAAAAGGGAAAGAAGAGTATACGTAGAGGAAGTTGGGGAGGAAAGAAAATAAAGGAAAAAGGAAAATGAAAAATAAGTAAAGCAGGCGGGAACAGAAGAAAAAGAAGAGGAACGTAAAGACAATGGAGAGTAAAGGAAAGAAGGTTAGGAAAGTACAAGGTGGGACAAATGAAGAGAAAAAAAGGAAATTGAAGACAAGAAAGCAAGATGACAAGAAATCAAGGTCCACAAATGGACCTATAGTGGTCCATACACTCTCGCTCCAGCAGTACCCTAACAGGGACACCGACTGTACCTTTAAACAGGACACTTTTTTTTTTTACCTCTTTATCTGTACCTCTAAAGGTACATTTTTGGTACCAAGGGTGCAAAAATATACCTTTATATGCCAGTACAAAAACATACCCACTGGAAAGACACTGAATTAGTACCTCACGAGGTACCGCTGGAGCGACATGCCGTTTTGTACCTGTAAGTGGCAAAAACATACCCTTAAATTCAAAGACAAATATGTATGCAATTATTCACCAAATTTTATTTAAATCATAAAAATCCTAAACACATACATGTTTGGTTTACATTTACTTTTTACATTTTACCAACAACAAAAAACATTTCTCAAAGTTGAGTAGGAAAGTACAAAAACATGAATTTATAACTTATCCAGGGTAGGATTCAATTTCTGGACTGTTCTACACTCAACCTGGAAGCATCAGGCTTTGTGTGCCATTCACTAACCAGTTTTGAATACAAAACACATTGTTTTACAGATTTAAAAATCACAACACTGTGTAGAAAATAGCACTGTTGCCTCCCAGCAAGAAGGTTGCTGGTTCGCGTCCCGGTGGGGGCACCAGGATCTTTCTGCGTGGAGTTTGCATGTTCTCCCCGTGCAGCGTGGGTTGTCTCCCGAAAGTACAGAACACTGCCAAAAGATTTTATAAAAATGTTAATACAAGATATAAGAACTGTATAAAACAATTACAATAATTGTGCAATGTGTTACAATTCCTTCAGAGCTTGAGATTTCTGACCCACATGCAGAGGAACACTCAGGAGAAACCGAGTTTGGAAAAATGAGATTTATTGCAGTGGTGGATATTGTGCAACGAAGAGCTTGATCCATGTGGAGACGGTGATGTGGGTTTGTGGACGGCTGGTGCAGACAGGTGGCTCGGTGGTCAGTGGAGTGAGTGAGAAGCAGGAGTGTTACCAGTCGTTTACGGTGGATCCAGGAGGGCACGGAGAAAACTCGAGCCTGGCGCAAGTAGGGTTAGGGTGTGTGGACAACAC